CCCCCAAAAGTATTAAGAAACTGGCTATTCCTCTTCTGTATTGTATCCCTGGTCTGATGCACTTTTGGTTAAAGGCAGGGAATTATTTTGATTGGTTTAAATTTGAGGCATGTTGTGTGCATTATTCTAATATTTTTCACTTTATTTTTCTGAAGAATAAACTCTGTTAATTGGAAAATTTGAATGATTCTTTTTTTTGAAGAAAGCCTCCCTGCTAACAAGAACTATTTCTATCTAGTGTCTGCTGGTGGCTTAGTAAGTAGTGAGTTGCACTGTGAACCCAAAGCTAGTGGTAAAAATCAACTAGGTGCTCTGAGGGAGAGACATGGGTATTCTCTTGTGCAGTTTACAGCTTCTGAAAACCCACTGGAGAGTCAACTGTGAGTCTGTGATGGCAGTGATTTTGAGACTTCATTTGTTGATTTGTTGATTTTGGGGGAGGGGTTGGGGAAGTGACTTTTTTCACTGCCAAAAGAACAAACACATTTTGGAGAAAATGCAGCCAGAGTGTCCTTGGAAGAAAAGATATATAAGCTTTGTCTCATCTACTTCAGGCCTGTCACCAGTTAACTAGGAGCTGCTGTTCCTTGAAGAGGGCAAGTAAACAGTGAGACAAGGCTAATTGAGGATGTTAAAAATATTGAGTAGTTATTTAGCTTAAACTTACCTGGGTTGACTTTAGGTTGTCATTTTAAGCTACTTCATCCACTGTTCCCTCAGCCACTGTCATATATACACACACACACACACACACACACAATCAAAAATCAACTCTGTATTTTTAAAAATTTATTCAGTATTACACATTTTCTCCCCCTTCTCTTCCCCCCCTTAGAAGCAGTGCACCCATTGTTCCAGATTATTCTCATAATGCATAATCATATATTCAGTTCTGTTTCCCCCCTCATCTGTTTTAATAGTGTCCATTATCTACCCACTCTTTCTCCAATCCTTCCATATCCTGTTTTATAACAGCAGTGTTAAACTGTATTTATCCTTTTGTGACCAAGATATTTCACTTAGCATAATGTCCTCAAGTCTTCCCACGTTGTGCAATGTTTTACTATTTTATTCTTGTTCAGTAGTGCTTAGTATTAGATTGTGTGACTGTACCATAGTATTTCTATCCATTCATTAATTGGGCATTTGGCTTGCTTCCATCTCTTTGCTATTGTAAATAAATAATGCAGCAACTCTTTGAAGAGTATGTCCCACCTTTGTCCTGTGGAGCCACTTAGTGGAATCAGATCACCAGAGTGGTGCAGGCTTTGAGTTAGCACAACTCTCTACAGACTAACTATAATGCCATAGCTTCCAAAAGTAGAGTTCATAATTCTTCTAGAAGATGTAATAAATCTGCCTTCCTGGTGCCAAGTCTCCTGTTTCTACGAAATGGCTCTGTCTTTCTAAAGGTGCAGTTTGTAACCTGAACAATCTGAGCCAGTCTCAAAAACATGTGTTGCTTTCTCAGTGGATATTCACATTCTTACCAACAAGAGAAGATACATCCAAAACTAAGTAGAAAAAAGGTGGCTAAAAGAGTTATGACATGATTGACAGTCACATTGGTGACCCAGTTTTCTTTACCTTCTCCCCTACCTACTTTTCCCTACCTCCCTGTACACCACCACCCTAATGGGAGGGGTTTTGGACCTAATTGGAAAAAATAGTCATAATTGAAATCTTAAACATTTATTATTGAGTGGATGTAGCTAGATAGGGGAAGGATGGGAGATTGTTTAATAGTTTAGGTTTTGTCGGCACATGCGTGGTACTTGGCAATACTTTTGAAACCGTGTGGGCATTTTTAGCATATTGCTAGTATCAGGCTGTAGATAGCCTTTTGCTTCTATGAACTCTGCCATCCACAGAGAGGACATGCCCACACCTGCATATTAATTAGGAGTGACCATTGACATTTACCTTTTGTACTTGTAGCTTTCATTCTGTATGCTGAATCCTGAGAATCCTGTTTGTCAAAATGTGAGTGATCACTAGTGGTAGAAAAAACATATTATTTGGCAGGCCAGACTTGTTGGAGGAATATCTATCTGAATAAGTGTATTCTTGGTAACATAGAGCTGTTTGTTGTGACACACCACACTCATGCCATTAGCATTTTGAGGGATACAAGTAGCTTGCTTTTCTTGATCTTCATGAGGTTTTTTGTTGGTGGTACTGATGAAATAATTTCTGATGTTGCTGATATTCTTTGAGCTCTCATTTCCAAACTCTCTTCATTCTTGGGAATGGAGAGTTCAACTGTGAAAGAACTCACAATAGTGTTCTTCTTATCTGGCTTCTCTTTCTCTTCCCCTTTCCTAGGAATTTTTTATTGTCTTTTTCTTCTTTAGAACTTTGTTCTATGAGTTTACACTTCTGTCTATCCTTAGTCTTTCTCCTTCAGTGTATATGCTTCAGGATCCACTTTTTCCTAGCAGTCCCTAAACTCTGTTTCATACAGTAGTGAAACTGTCCTTTGCCTGAGTTCAGTGATTCTCAGAAGTTTCTGTTACTCTTACTCTCTTTGGCAGCCCTTATCACATGTGTCTGCTCCCCTAAAAGTCACACTGACCTCTAAGCCACCCCTAATACACCCTCTTCTTCATGCCTTTGTTTTTCTTTGCAGTGTTCATTTATTCATCCAATAAATTATTTTATTGACTACCTGACACTGATGGTGAAGAGATTGAGATTGTTCACAGCTTTAGTTTATTTGGCTCCACAGTCAACACTCTTGGCACCAGTAGCCAGGAAATTAAAAGACGTATTGCCATGGGAAAGTCTACTGTTAGGGACTTCTCCAAAGTACTGAAGAGCAGTGGTGTCTCTCTAGAGACTAAGGTGCGTCTGATACAGGCTATGGTTTTTGCGATCACAATGACTAAGGAGGATAGAAGGAGAATTGATGCCTTTGAGCTTTGGTGCTGGAGAAGAGTATTGAGGGTACCATGGTCTGTTAGGAAAACGAACAGAAAGCTGTGTGGCTTTGGGCATGGGATGGAATGAATAACTTTCATTCCTAGAAAGTAAGCACAGACTACATTACATGGCTTTTGTAAAGATCACTTTCACTCCTAACATTCATCTGACAGGATCTCTATTTGTAACTGGAGGTTTCCCTAGCTTGACAACATCTGTTTACATCTGTTCTTGCATCTTTTGTCAGTCACATTACCACCCTAGCCCAGAGATTCTTCATAAGGAAGGTAGATTGGTCAGCATATATTGTGCTCCTAGTTTTTTTGCTTTTGGATTTAAGTGTTTAGGGAGGAGGCTTGGCTTTGTGTTGTTTTTGGGGGTTTTTTCTCTCCTAGGTTTGTTGTTTTTCCAGTCCTTCACCTCAGCTCTCCTCCTATTCAGAGACCAGACCTGGTCAGGCCATCCTGGGGAATGAATAGAGAGGTGGGAGAAATGCAGCATCTGAAAGTGATCCTTTGGTGGACATGGTTGTTTCATGTTGTTAATGACCATTAGGATATTTGGAGTTTTTGTCTTGTATTTATAGAGTATACTATACTGTAAATGTCTAAGACTTGAGAATTTGTATATTATATAAAAAATGGTTGTGGTTGTTGTTGTTATGTGCCGTCGAGTCGTTTGCGACTCATAGCGACCCTATGTACAACATTCCTAAACTGTGCTCTATCCTGTGCCAATCTCATTGCCTCTCCTCCTTTCCCATTTGGGCCTGCGAATGGCAATGCTTTTGCAAAAAATATTTGGCACTACTTGGCATTATAAACAATGGCGCTGAGAATCAGTGTTAGCTGGAGGTTGGCACAGACATTGTTGATGGCGCAATGAATATCTCACTTGCCTAAGATTTTCTTGGGGGGGGGGCGTTTCACTCCCTTGGGAACTAATAATGAACCACACAAGTTACGTTTTATTGCTCTCTCTGTGTTGTCCGTGCCAATCACAGCTCCCTAGGGGAATAGACCCTGTCAAAATAATTAGATTGAGGAGTGAATGTCACACTTCTAATTTCATTCTATTTTCAAAGAGTCCATTTAATAAAATGAGATTAGCCCTTTGAACCAGGAGTATTTGAAAGCTATCACTCGTATAATCTTGACAGCTCAGAGGAATTTGTATTGTTGGAACTTCTCAAGACAGTGGCAAGGTTTATTGCTGACATACTCTTAACCGCACAGGGATATGCAGTTGAGGGGCCACGTATGTAATAAAGAGATATCCAGAGAGAGGATTTTAAAAGAATACCTTTTTTAAATGGATTTACCTATAGTATGTAAAAATAATACTAATAATGTAGAATAGGAAAGATAAAAACCAAATGAATGATAAATTATCTTTTCTTGAATCTTTTAGAAAACCTCGGATAAATTCTCAGTTGGTTGCACAACAAGTAGCACAACAATATGCTACTCCACCACCACCCAAGAAGGAGAAGAAAGAGAGAGTTGAAAAGCAAGACAGAGAGAAACCTGAGAAAGATAAGGATATTAGCCCTAGTGTTACCAAGAAAAACACCAACAAGAAAACAAAGTAAGTTCCTAACTAAATGTATTATTTTGTCAGAAGATCAAAATTATTTTCTAAATGCCTCTTTTCATTACTCTTTATAGACCAAAGTCTGATATTCTGAAAGATCCTCCTAGTGAAGCAAACAGTATACAGTCTGCTAATACGACAAAGACCAGTGAGACAAATCACACCTCAAGGTACTTTGAGATGAGATGAAATATTGCTGCTTTGAGTTTCTTAATCCTAACCTGGAACCTGTGTTGGTTTATAATCTACAATGACTGGGATGAAAAATTTAGTGTGGGGCTGGGGTTTTCTAGTATTTCTAAATTAAAACTACTTTTTACCTACCTATGGCAGAAACAGGATAAAGAAGAAAAGAAAGATAGGTTATTAATATTTCTTTATAATCCAAAACTTTGTTGGCCTGGTTGATTTTTGCCTTTGCTAAAGTTAATCAGCATACTTTGTGTATGTGGCTTTTTTTTTAGGTGTTGGGTTTTTATTTTATAATACTGATATAGTTTTACAAAGTTTGAATACATTGTTTTTCCTAAAAGAGCCTTCCCATTTCCTTCACCCCCCACCCATTGAAACCCTATGATTAACACCTCACCCCTCACCCGTCCCCCTCCCATCTACAACACCATACCATGATAGCTCTTGGATCCTCATACTCATTGTACAATGATAAGTTTTATGTAGTATTTGTCCTAGTGGGACTGAGTTCACTCAGCATAGTGCTCTCCAGTCCCTCCAAGTTAGGTAGTAACTTGGAGAGTAGTATAAATTCATTGTTCCTGCTGTGCTGTGTACATTTTGTAAATGTCACAATTTCTCAATACATTGATTTGTGATCGGACATCTGGGCTCTTTCCATGTTCTTGCAGTGGTGAATAATGCTGCTATGAACATTGGTGTACAGCCCTCCGTTTGTGCCTCAGTTCTCATTTTCTGGGCGTATAAGCCAAGTAATGGAAATAGCTGGCTCATGTGGAATTTCTATATTCAGCTTTTTGAGGAAATGCCAAACTGCCTTCCAGAGTGATTATACCATTTTACAGTCCCATCAGCATCCTCTCCAACATTTATTAGTTGCTGTCCTGTTAACATGTTGCCGCATACTTTTTAAATTGACGACTGTGGTTAGGAATACATTTGCGGCAACGTGTTAAACTTTGTCACTCTCAGCACACTTGGAATGAATTTGGTGTGTGTATATTTATTGCCCAGATATCATAAGATCTGCTGATAATGATGGAGTGGAAGTGGTTTTTTTTACATAATCACTTATTTACTATCCTGTTCCCCTGTGGTGGTGTGTTTAGGCCCAGGCTGAAGAATGTGGACAGAAGCACTGCACAGCAGTTGGCAGTAACTGTGGGCAATGTCACTGTCATTATCACAGACTTTAAGGAAAAGACTCGTTCCTCTTCAACATCTTCATCCACAGTGACCTCCAGTGCAGGGTCAGAACAGCAGAACCAGAGCAGCTCGGGGTCGGAGAGCACAGACAAGGGCTCCTCTCGCTCCTCCACACCCAAGGGCGACATGTCAGCAGTAAACGATGAATCTTTCTGAAATTGCACATGGAATTGTGAAAACTATGAATCAGGGTATGAAAGTCAAATCCTCCACCTGCCCATGCTGCTTGCACCCCTGGAGATTCATCTGTGGACATCGACCTTTTAGAGATGCTACCAGGATCATTTCTGCTTGCCATGGGCATCTGGCCACCAAGGAATTTCGCACCCTGACGATTACTCTTGACACTTTTATGTATTCCATTGTTTTATATGATTTTCCTAACAATCATTTATAATTGGATGTGCTCCTGAATCTACTTTTTATAAAAAAAAAAAGAAAAAAAAATCTGTGCACAGTTTCCCATGTACATTACAACTAGTTTTTTGTTTTGTTGTGGGGTGGGGAGGGACTTTTATTTATTGTGTTCACAAACTCCCATTTTTTCAGTATATCCTTTTTAGTTCTTTCTTCCAGTTATACTATGTACTATCAGTTTTGATATAACTATAAATATATATATAAAAGGGTTATTTGAAACCAATCCATGGCAACGCTGGTGCTTGATACACTGTGAAGTGAATACAACTTTGAACAGTTACAGATCTGGGACAGTCCCTTCTATGAAAGTACTGAAATGAAAATCCAACTTACATGAGTATGTTCCAACTTATCTGGGAACTTGACCACTCTCAACTGTCTAATGAATACTGGACAATATAAAATATATATATTTTTTAAACAATGTGAGCTCATGTTTAAAAGACTTCTCCAGATAGCCTGCATTTGTAATAGAATTCTAATGAATCCTAAAGTGGTTTAGGGAGGACTTGGATCATTCAGAGTCACTCCACTAGCTCCAGAATGCCAAGTATTCACGTCAGTTACAGTTAATTCATGAAAATAGGGTATTCTGTAACTCAAATTCCATCCATTTTCCAGACCTCTACCTGTGTCTGAGATAAATCTATAAAATGTCTCTTAGTTTTAGAATTAAAACTAAACTGTTTTTTTTTTTTTTGTCCACACTAGAAACAATTACTTGTTTCCATGTTTGAGGTGACATCGCAGTAGTGGTTTTGGTAACTTAAATTTTTGTTTGCCTCATGTCCTCTCTTCTCACCATTTACTAACTCAGTTCTGAGAATTTTCTTTCTTTGTTAAAATTGACTGTTTTCCTGAAGGTTTATCAGGCACATATCTAGCGGTGCTGATATGGAGCTTTTCAGTGTTTGGAGACATTTCTCAATTCCCTGCTGTGTGAAGGGGACTCAATCTTGTGAATGGATTTAATGTCAACTTCAGATTTGTGGGGAAAGCAAATGCTAATGGGGTGTGTCATCTTTTTCTTCCTCAACATAAAGATAACTTGACTAAACTCTCTCTTAAGTCTCCCCCCCCCCCCCATTGTCTTGAAAAAAACTAAGACCACTAATGGATCTCTTTCCTCCCCATTTTTAATTTCTGTTCTGTTTGGGATTTGGGCAGGAAGTCTCAGTTTGACTTTTAATGTTCATACCCACAGAATTCAAAGTTCTTCAGAGTATTTTTCAAGCATGGGAACTTGATGCTAATTTCCTTTATTTGACATCCTTTAGGAGGGCAGCAGGTTTGTAATAAAGCATCAGATTCTGGTGTTAAAAAACACCTGGCTTGAATAAGATTAGAAGTAACTTCTGTCTGTGGAGGCAACAATTTAAAAAAATAAAAATTAACAGCTTGACTTGAGTAGCCAACAGGAAAGGTTCCTCTCACATTTACATTAAAACTATTCTGTAGTCACTGATGTACCATGACTTAAATTCTGTTCTCAAAATGTATAGATTACAAAGCAGTGCCATTTGTTGCTGTGGTCCTATTCTCAAATGCATGGACAATGTTCCCCTCTTCTTAAAAGAATGCTTGTATCTGGGATGCAAGCTATACTTTTTAAATACATTTTAAAAGTATTTATTAATGAACCAAAGGAAATCGGATGCTTTCTATAAGCATGAGAATATATAATATGTAGTGATTTGACTATGAATTTTAAATCCATGTTTTAATATTAGTGGGATATTGCAAAGACATTCCTTCTAACATTGTAATATTCCTTTTTTTAAGGGTCTCAGGGAGGGTAATTAGTCAGCCATATTTATTTTCCAGAAGTATAAAGAATTGCTGTTTTTAATTAACTTTTTTTAAAAAATTAAATGCCACCAAACTCATGTGGGTTGCACTGCTTTTTGAACCAGTAAGTGTTGAATATCAAGCACTTTGTTCAAAAACACTGTGTTCTTTTTTCAAAATTAGTTTCATGTAAAGTGATTGGACCCCCAGATTAGTGGGAAAAGCTGATAAACCAGCTACTCATAGGCTGCTAATTAAATTTCATTGCCAGTGTCTTGGTTTTTCAGTTTTGCCTCCATGTAGGGAAGGGGTGAAGAAGAGGAGGAGTGCTCTAGAACTAGAATGAAACTGCCATTTTGGTGGAAACTGCAACTAGTGGTGGAAGCTGTCCAAGTAATCCAGTGTTACTGGCTAGTCTATTAGCTGCTATTTAGTCTTTTGAGGTGGTGTAGGAACTCCAGATTTTTAATTTTTGAGATTAATGACATCCATCAGGCATGTATTCTGGAAATGGAATCTGTAAATTCCTAGGTTTGCTGTTTGTCCTGCAATTAGTAGGCAGTACATAAAAACAATAGTGTAAATTATAAAGATTATAGTAAAAAGAGGACCAGAAATACTTGGTATTCAGTGGCACAGAAAGTAGGTTTACAGACAAAAAGCACAGTGTTATGCTTTCAAGTTTCCATTTGTTTAAGGCCACAAGATCTTTCACACCTGTGCGTGTGCACACTCAGAGCTTACCTGACTGCTCTGCTTGAGTCATGCAGTTTAAAAAAAATAATAAATCTTGACACCCACAATACTGTAATCAAACCTTTCAGTTTCAATTTGGATATTTAAAAACATTGGCAGAAGCTTCTGTGAGTTTAGTTCCACTAAGATGTTTCACCTGCCTTATCAAGACCATTCTCAGTCTGCTTTTTTAAGCTACCATATCTTAAATTATTGAAAATTTATTAATTGCTGAATATATAATAACCTTTGCTTGTATGTAACCGAAAGTGGTTTAAGAGCCACCCTTTAGAGTATGACAATGGAGCTGAACAGTTTCTAATGCGCAAGCAGTTCTGTTCTTGTGTATGACTTGTAACCTTAATTTACTGTGTAAAGATGGTTACATTATTTCCTTAGCTTTGTTTGTTGGAGACAAATAGAGAATGCTTGTTAAGTATGTCAAAACATAATCTTATCTTGTGAATTTTTGTTAATGTATTATACGAGCTATATTTTTCATTTTCCCTGAAAGACAGCTTGTATAACGCTTTTTGGAAGTTTCTGCTCTGTAACGTCTTTAGAGCTGATGGTCCAGGTTTGTTTTTGGGTTGGTTGTTTGGGTATTTTTTTTGTTTTTTTGTTTGTTTGTTTGGTTTGTTTTTAACGGTTTGGGGTTTTTTTGTTTGTTTGTTTTTGGGGGTTTTTTTGGGGGGATTTTCATGCTAAAGTGTCAGTTGGTGGTTTTGTGAACTGGTCAGAAATTCACAGGTCTTTAATGTTTTGGGGAAATTTATATTGGACACTGCTCTTTGTCTAGCAAATAAAAGATGTTAATATATTCCTGTTACTGGCATGTGCACGACTATGTTATTAGAAGCCACTTTATCATTTTCCTGCTTTAAATAGAAATGTCTATTTATGAATTCTGCTTGTAGTTTTTTCACAAATAAAATAGTAAAATTTACATTGGAAACCTTTATTTTTGTACTTGTAGATTTTAACCTTTAAACTGTTGTCACTTCTCTTTTTAACCTTTGGTATATTTTCATTGTGTATGTTGTGATGTTAAGTCACTTGTGACTCATAGCAACTTTATGTACAAGAGGCCTAAACCCTGCTCTATCCTCTGCCAACCTCACCGTCTCTGACATACTTACTCCCACCAACCCGGTCACGGAATCGATCAATCTCATTGAGTATCTTCCTCTTCTGCACTGTCACTCCACTCTCCCAAACAAGATGTCCCTCTCCAACGATCGGTCCCTCCTTGCAGCATGCCCAAAGTATGTCAGACGAAGCTTCAGAATCCTTGACTCCAAGGATCAGCCCGGCTTCACCCTCTCCAGGACTAACATGTTTGTTCTCCTAGCAGTCCATGGTATATTCAACACACTTCTCCAGTACCACAGCTCAAAGGCATCAGTTCTTTTATCACCCCTAGTCACTGTCCCAACTCTCCGATGTATAGCGCACAATTGCGAAGACTATAGCTCAGATCAGGCGCACCTTGGTCTCCAGCCTAATGTCGTTGCTTTTCAGTATTCTTGAGAGTTCCCTCACAGCTGACTTTACCAGTGCAATTCATTTCTTGATTTCCTGGTTGCTGCTACCAAGAGTGTTGACTATGGAGCCAAGCAAACTAAAACTGTTCACTAATCACTTCACTATCCATTCTGATGCTGCCAGTTGGTCCAGTGGTGAGAATTTTTGTTTTCTTGATGTTGAGCTTGCGGTCCTTGACCCTCTGCAACAAGTGCTTCAGGTCCTCCTCAAGTGTCATCAGCATAATGCAGGTTGTTGATGACTCTTCCACCAATCCTGATGCCACATTCCTCCTCATCCAGCCCAGTGTCTCCAATGATCTGTTCTGCATACAGACTGAAAAAGTAGAGACAATACATCCCTGGTGGGCCCCCTTCCTGATTTTGAACCATGTAGGGTCTCCTTGCTCTTTTCTGACGATGGCCTCTTGGTCCAAGTATAGGTTTTGCATAAGCACAGTCAAATGTTCTAGGATTCCCTTTTTTCTCAGAGTCAGCCATAGCTTCTTATGATCCACACAGTCAAAAGCCTTTGCATAGTCAATTAAGCACAGATAGACATTCCTCTGGCACTCTCTGCTTTCTGCGAAGATCCATCTAACACAATTCATTGTGTACAGGAGATTAATTTTCTTTAAGAGCTTCCATATGACGGAAACTGAAAGATGCCACAGGCCAAAGCTTGAAGAAAAGCAAGTACAATTTCAAAATTCTGAGCAAATTCTATTTCCGTCAGAAAACTTCCTGTATGCTGTTCATCAGCTTTTCTGTGTGTCAGAGCATCATTTGATGGAAGTTTCATTGTAAGGAAAGGGAGATAAAGATTGTAATGATCAGTGAACTGTTAAGTGTGTTGCTGCAGCTGAAGATGGTGTATACAAATCATCTTGCGGAAACTACAGTAGTAACTTGCCAAAGACAACTCCTGAAAACACTTTAGGATCCGTCCTTGATTATTTGTCCTGGTTACTGAAGAAAGATGATAAACCTAATTTGAAATTGAATTTGTCCTTGTTTTCCTGTTTGGCTCCCCAGAAGTTTTTAGAAGGGCCAGAAAGGGCTGAGGGGCTAGGCTTGCTTGGAATGTGTTTCCCCATCCTCTGTCTGACTGGTTGTACAAAGAGTAATGATAAGTGCCTCTGCTGCTTGTAGGAAAGAAGGATGCTGCTTCTGGGAACAGATGGAATATTTCTCCCAGTTTTCAGCTAAGATCTAGATGATATTGAGGGATTAGGCATAATTAGAGCTAACAGCCACATTATTGATCCCTGGTAACTTTAGCCTTTTCAATCATCACTGGACATGAAATCCAGAGTGCACACAGTGTTGGCCTCTGCTCTGGGTACCCAAAGGTGGGCATGAAGATGTTGGGGAGGCCCTAACTTTACAAGAGTTTTAAGCAGCCATCTTAAGATCCTACCTAGTGCCATCTTACTAGAATCAGTACTTCATCAAGGTCGTCTTGTTTGCTAGTCATTGAAAGAGAATTGCCTCTTGCTGGATATGATTAATGGTAATTATTTTGG